CGCCACCTGGTGGCCAATCAGTTTCTCTGCTCCCTGCTCAGAGTCGGAACCCTGTCCAGGGTCCTCCACATCCTTCAGAGTCGACTCATAGGGCCCCTCGCTGTCGGAGTCTGGTGGCAGCTCCAACGGCTCCTGCTGGGCCACAACAAATAGGGTACTTTGATTTACTACTATAATGCTTGGTTAACAGCCCTCCGTCATCCAGTGTTACAAAAAAGTTTGGGAACCCTTTTGAATTATCAATACTTCTGCATAAAATGACCTAAAACATGATCTGTTTTCCACCCAACTCTTAAATCTAGATAAGGAGAACGGAAATATGTAGCTTTGGATCATTTTCTTCAATAAATCAATGAACAAGGATAACATTTTTGACTTGTTTGTTTAATTGGATTCCCTTTATCTAGTTGTAGGAGTTGGGTGAAGAACAGATAATGTTTTAGGCCATTTTAATTCAGGAATAAAAGGGTTTACAAGTGGTGGTTCAGTGGCTAAGGCGTTGAGCTTGTCAATCAAAAATATACATGCAAATCAAATCCAGATACAATAGCGACATTAAAACATACGAACTACAACTGGAACAACAGGAACTAGATAAGATAATTCAAAATATGGAGAAGAAAATGATGGAGAGAATATACAATTTTTTGTTCAAATATAAAAAGGAGGAGGAGTTTGTCAAGGAAACTATGGTAAGATAGGCAAAAAAATTCGGCTATAACATTGAATTGGAAAGATGGGGAAAATGTTAGGGAACATATTTGAAATTGACTATGTCTGTGGCATACAAGGAAAACCAGTAAAAAATGTTTTATAAATGGCACCTGGAACCCGTGAGACTTGTAAAAAATATCTTCAAACTTATCCCCATTGTGTTGGAAATGTGAGAAATCATATGGGACGTACTATCACACGTGGTGGCCATGCGAGGTGGCCCAAAAAAATTGGGTTAAAAATCAAAAACTGGTTGGAAGCTATAACAGAATCACAGAGGTCGGAAACCGGAGACATTTTTATTAGGCTTAACCACAACAAAATACAATAAAGAAACTTTATACCTAATTCTATATATTATTACAATGGCCAGAATAGCATATGCACCGAAATGGAAGAACAACACAATACCGAGTGAAGATGAGATCATACGGAAGATCTTAGAATGCACAAAGATGGATAAATCGAGCAAGGAAATTCAAGGAAAGGAGGAAACAGAGTATTATTTAATTTGGGAAAAATTGTATAAGTGGTTAGATGATAGAAGAGCCGAGGTGGCGCAGTGGTTAAATGCAGCACTGCAGGCTACTTCAGCTGACTGCAGTTCTGCAGTTCGGCTGTTCAAATCTCACCGGNACTTTGGATTATACTGTATGTATGTTAAAAAAAAACTTTCGGCAAAAATAAATAAATAGAAGAGCAGAAGCTTATCCAAGGAAGAGGGCGCAAGCAGCTCCCATCCTCCTTTGTCCTGTTTTGTGTCTCCGCACACCCAGGCATGTGACGCAGGCAGAGCGCGGCTGGGATGCTATGGAATGTGACCAGTTGCCTGCAGAGGCCCTCCGACAGGTGAAACTCCAGCGTCACCCCATCTATGGATTCGGCTTTGTGGCCGGAAGTGAGAGACCGGTGGTAGTTCGCTCGGTGACCTCAGGTGCGGTGGGAAACGCCCCGAGGAGTGGGGCCAGTGAAGGTCGCAAGTACGAGGAGTGGGGCACAGAGGGGAGGGGGGTTCTGTTCACTGGGGGGGGCAGCTACGTCAGGAAACACCCCCCCCTTTTGCCAAAGCCACAAGGGGGAACAGGAAAAAGTGGGAATGTGCAAGATTTCAAAACGGACAATTGTGATCGTTCTCAAGTCACATCATTTGAAGATCAAGAACTGTTCACGACAGAAAGCCTGGGTCAACCCCCCCCCACGCCCCCCCCACCCCCAATGGTAAGGACAGCCTGTTCCCAACACCAGGGATTCCAGCTGCAAAAGAGGGCACAGGGAGCGAGAGAGCGCAGCCAGGCGGGGGCTGAGGTGCAGTGGGGGCCACCAGCATGTGATGGAACTATCCAAAGCCACCTGGGGACAGCCAAGCCCCCAGCTCTCCTGGGCCTGGCTCACAGCGACCCCCCCCTTTCTTTGGCAGGAGGGCCATCTGAGGATAAGCTGTTGGCAGGTGACCAAATATTGGCCATAAATCATGAAGATGTAAGTGACGCCCCCCGAGAGAGAGTTATAGAACTGGTCAGGTAAGAGGGGGATGCCCGAATGGAAGGGGAGGAAGACTCAAAGAGACCCTCTGGAGAGCCTGGACTGCTCCGGAAGGGGCTGCCTTAAGCCCACCCGGGTCTCTTCCCAGAATTGACTGCTGGGAACTTCTGCATAATCTTTGGGGCAGGGAGAAGTGCAATCTCATCCCGCTCCCCGCCCCACCCTGAGATCGAAGGCAGAGGCATCCTAAGCAAACCCATGATTGGGGGTGGGAGTAAAATAAAAACTTGAGCATGCGGAAAGGAAAGCCCGACCCCGCGGACCCAGGAAACGACTCCACCGGGGGGCAGGGAGCAGCCGACGCCACCGCTTGCTGCCGAGCTCCGCGGAATTCTCCTGAAAGCAGCCGCTTCTCCCTTCTCGTTGCAGAGGCGCCCAGGAGGCTCTCATCCTTACGGTGCTACAGACTCACCAGGTGGGAGCCAAACTTTGGGGTGGGAAGGGCACAGGGGTGGGTTTCTCACCCCATCCCAACCGGTTCGGTTGGAACGGGGCC